ATACTCTGTCCTTGTCTTTGATCTTTGCCATTTTAATTATTATGTGTCTTGGTGTTGCCCTCCTTGGGTCCCTTGTCATGGGAGTTCTGTGTGTTTCTGTGGTCTGAGAGGCCATTTCCTCCCCTAGTTTGGGGAAGTTTTCAGCAATTATTTCTTCAAAGACACTTTCTACCCCCTTTTCTCTCTCTTCTTCTTCTGGTACTCCTATGATGCAAATATTGTTCCTTTTGGGTTGGTCACACAGTTCTCTTAATATTCTTTCATTCTTGAAGATCCTTATATCTCTCTCTGCATCAGCTTCTCTGCATTCCTGTTCTCTGTTTTCTAGTCCATTAATGGTCTCTTGCATCTCGTCCATTCTGCTTTTAAGTCCTTCCAGAGATTGTTTTATTTCTGTATTCTCCCTCCTTAGCTCTTGCATATTTCTCTGCAAGTCCATCAGCATGGTTATGACCTTTGTTTTGAATTCTTTTTCAGGAAGATTAGTTAAATCTACCTCCCCAGATTCCTTCTCAGGAGAGGATGTTGAAGGTGTCTGGGTTAGCCTGGTCTAGATCAAATTTTTTTGCCTTTTCATGTTGATAGATGCTGTGGTATGCTATTGACTTGTCTGTCAGCTGGGAGAGCCAAGACCTTTTCCACTTGCTCCTGGCCTTTCTTTACTGGGACAACTACGACCCCTAGCGGCTTGTGTTGGGCAATTGCACGTAAACTGGGTCTGTTTCTTGCCCAGCCGCTGTGGAGGAAGCTCCCTTGCTGTGGGCGTGGCCAGCCTCAGGCTGCTGCTCTGCTATGGCAGGATGCCGGCGTGGGAACAGACGGGGCGGTGCTGTTTATTGCCATGAGGGGTCTCAGAGTTGCTGCCCAGGGGGTTAGGGTGCCCGGAGTTTCCCAGGATTTCCAGCTGCTGGGCTAAGTGTCCCGGGACGCTTCCGTCCAGCTATGGGGTCCCTGTCCCTTTATGACTTTCAAAAAGCACTTGCTTTTCTTTGTCCCAGGGGCGCCGACTGCGGGGACCCGCTCACAGGTCTTACTGTCCTGTTTCCCTAGTATCCAGCACACCACGCCTGGGTGTGGATGGCTAGGGCTTGCTATTTAGCAGTCCTGGGTTCCCTCTCCCTCCCCGCTCTGACTCCTCTCCTTCTGCTGGGCGCTGGGGTGAGGGGCGCTCAGGTCCCGCTGGGCTGGGGCTTGTATCTTACCCCCTTCGCGAGGCGCTGGGTTCTCATGGATGTGGATGTGGTCTGGCTGTTGTCCTGCATCTTCTGGTCTCTCTTTTAGGGATAGTTGTATTTGTTGCATTTTCAAAAATATATATGTTTTTGGGAAGAGATTCCCACTGTCCTACTCATGCCGCCATCTTGGCACCGCCCTAAAATATTATTATTTGTACTTTTAAAAATAATAGCTTTCTGAGCTATAATTCACATACCATAAAATCCCTATTTAAAATGTACAATACACTGGCTTGTATTGTATTCACAAATTTGTGCAATCATTGCAACAATCAAAACCTCTGTACCCATTAGCAGTCACTTCCCCTTTCCTCAAGGTCCCCCAGCCCTGTCCCCAGGTAACTATTAATCTATTTTCTTTTGCTATAGATTTGCCTCTTCTGTACATTTCATATAAATAGAATTGTGTAATATGTGGTCTTTTATGACTGGCTTCCTTCACTTAGCATAATATTTTTGAGGTTCATCCATGTGACAGCATGTAACAGTACTTCGTTCCTTTATATGGCTGAATAATATTCCATTATATGAATATATCACATTTTGTTTAGCTTTTCATCAACTGATAGGTATTTGGGTTGTTCCCACCTTTTGGCTATTATGAATAGTGCTGATATGAACATTTGTGTGCAATTTTTTGTGTGGACATAAATGTTATCATTTCTCATGGCTGTATACCTGTTAGTAAAATTGCTGAGTCATTTAGTAACTCTATGTTTAACTTTTTGAGGAACTGCTGGACTGTTTTCCGAAGTGGTTGCACCCTTTTACATCTCCACCAGTGTAGGAGGTTTGCCAAAGTCCTTGCCAACACTTGCTATTATCTGATGTTTTGATTCTAGCCATCCTAGTTGGTGTGAAATGGTATCTCATTGTGGCTTTTATTTGTATTTCCCTGATGAATAATGATGTTAAGCATCTTTTCATGAGCTTATTAGCCATTTATATATTTTGCGGGAAGTGTCTGTTCAGATCTTTTGTCCATTTTTCAATTGTTTTTTTTACTGTTGAGTTGTAAGAGTTCTTTATATATTCTGTTTATTAGTCCCTTATCATATATATGATTTGCAAATATTTTCTGCCATTCTGGGGGTTGTCTTTTCATTTTCTTGATGGTATCCTTTGAAGCACTAAAGGTTTAAATTTTGATGTAGTTCAATTTTTCTATTTTGTTTTTTGTTGCATGTGCCTCTGTTGTCATATCTAAGAAACTATTGCCTAATCCAAGGTCGTGAAGATTTATGCCTGTGTATTCTTCTAAGAGTTTTATAGTTTTGGCTCTTACATTTGAGATCTTTAATCCATTGAGTTAATTTTTATATATGATATGAGGTAGGAGGTTCAAATTCTTTCTTTTGCATGTGAATATCCAGTTGTCTCAGCACCATTTGTTGAAAAGATTAATCTCACAGAATGGCTAGTATCAAAAAGACAAGAAATAATAAGTGTTGGCAAGAATGTGGAGAAAAGGGAACCCTTGTGCACCATTAGTGGGACTGTAAACTAGTGGACTGTAAACACTGTGGAAAACAATATGGAGGTTCCTCAAAAAATTAAAAATAAAAGTGCTGTACAGTATAGTAATCCCACTTCTGGGTATTTACCAGAGGAAGACAGAAACACTAATTCAAAAAGATATACACACCCCTATATTGATTGAAGCATTATTTACAATAGCCAAAGTATGGAAGCAACCTAAGTATCTATTAAGAGATGAATGGATAAAGAAGATGTGATGTACACACTCACACAGGAATATTATAGAGCTGTAAAAAAGAATGAAATCTTGCCATTTGCAACAACATGGATGGACCTAGAGGGTGTTATGCTAAGTGAAATAAGACAGAGAAAAACAAACACCATATGATTCACTTGTGTGTGGAATCCAAAAGACAAAACAAATGAACAAATAACCAAAAACCAAAACCACCCAGAAACACTCATAAATTCAGAGAACAAACTGATGGTTGCTAGAAGGGAAAGACGTGTGGAAATAGGTAAAAGGGATCAAGAGGTACAAACTTGCAACTATAAAATAAACATTATGGGGATGAAAAGTACAGTATAGGGAAATAGGCAGTAATGTAATAATTTTGTGTGGTGGAAGATGGTAACTATGCTTATTGTGGTGAGCATTTTGTAACATATATAAATGTCAAATAATTATGTTGTTTACCTAAAACTAAATATATTTTGTCAACTATACTTCAGTAAGAGATTAATAAATAAAGACTATTCTTTCTCCATTGAATTGTCTTGGCACCCTTGTCAAAAATCAATTGACTAAATGTGAGTTTGTTTCTGGACTCTGAATCCTATTCCATCAATCAGTTTGTTTGTTCTTACACCAGTGTCACATACACTGTCTCGGTTACTGTAGAGTTGTGGTAAGTTTCGAAATTAGGAAGTGTTGGGTCCTCCAACTTTATTCTTTATTTATTCAATTATTTGGCTGTTCTGGGTCCCTTAAATTTCCATATGAATCCCAAGACTAGCTTTCAATTTCTGCAATAAAGACAGCTGGAATTTTGATGGTGATTGCATTGAATCTGTAGGTCAGTTTGGGGAGTATTGTCATTCTACCAAGATTAACTTTTCTGAGCCATTAACATGAACTATCTTTTCATTTATTTAGTCTTTAATTTCTTTTAACAATGTCATAGTTTTCAGAGTATAAGTTTTATACTTCTTTTGTTATTTTTATTCATAAGTATTTTACTCTTTTTGCTGTTTCTATAAATGAAATTATTTTTCTAATTTCATTTTCTGGTTCTTCATTGGGAGTATATAGAAATACAGTTGATTTTTGTATACTTATGTCCTGAAACCTTGCTGAAGTTGTTTATTAGTTCCAATAAATGTTTAGTAGATCTGAACTTCTTTTAAGATACAATCTACTTCGGTAACATCTTACTACATTGATAGATAGTGACTGCACTAGAGGGGGTGAACATTTAATAATATGGGTAACTGTTGAACCACTGTGTTGTACACTTAAAACCAATATAAGATTGTATATCAATGATACTTTAATTTTTAAAAATATGCAAATAAATTATAGCAATAACATTTATTTTATAATAACAAAGTACAACTTTAATTGGAAAAAAAAGAATCCACTTTTAGTTGGATGCTTTTTGTAAGGTAGATAATTGTTCTCTACTTTTCTCTTCCTAAATTTTGAATTTTATTTCTTGATGTACAGCAAACTCATATTTATATATTATCATTACTTTGTATATAATTTTTCTGATGAGTCTGGCTTTAAATCATAACAGCCTAGGTTAGTGATTCTCACTTGAATGTGGGGAAGGGTGGTATTTTAGAATCACTAGGGACATTTTCAAACCATATGTATCATCTGGAGATTTTGCCATCCCACTGTTTTTGGCTTAGAATCACTGTTCTAGTGAGCCGTGCGTTAAGGCAGAAAGAAGATTGAGAACCATTGGGTCAGGCCTTGTTAGACAAGTACATTATAATATTCTGTTGTGAAGGAGAGGAGTCTGTATAATTATTTGTGGTCCTTTTTATTATTATCATGAATAATAATGGAAACATCTGTCCACACAGACAATTAAGAGCAGAACTCAAACTTCAGTTCCATTATGCTGAGTAGATGATAGTCTGGTCTTGGTTCTGAATTTGGTGTTGGTGGCTACATAACTGTGACATCAGTGTGGTTGATGGGTTCTATGGATTATCTCCATTTGGATTTTGAGGGAGAGCTTTGAATTGAACTTGACATCTTTTCCTTCTTAGGCCCCAACAGAACATCTGAGCTCAAATGAGATGCCAGAGGACACCAGCACTCCTGAAGAGATGCCACCCCCAGAACCCCCAGAGCCACCACAGGAGATGACTGAAGCTGAGAAGTAGCCTATCGATGGAAGAGACTTTTGTTTGCATTTAATTAGGGCTGTGAGAGATTTAAGGGGAGAAGATAAGCCTGAGACAGAGAGCAAGTAAGATGTCCTTTTTATTGTTTTCATTTGGTCTTAAATGTATAATTCAGTGGCACTAAGTATATTCATGACACACTGGCATTTTCTTGCTGCAAGCTTTTTTATTTCTGGACTTAAGGCACGACGCAAGATGTCAGTCACCTCTGGTAACTGGACAAATGGGTCTCTTGGGCCCGGGCCCTGGTTTCCCATGGCCTCAGCCACAGAGTCTCCTTGGACTCCCCTCTCTACTCTCCAGATCTCAGCTCTCCTGCTTGGGGTCACTGGTCCACTTATGGGGTTAAAGGTTCTTGAGACTGGCTCACATCCTTTCAAGCCACTGTGTGTCACAAGTGCAGACGTAATCACAGAGAACTCAGGCCAGGCAACCCTACCTGAATTCTTGGGGTTTCAGAACCAACGAGGGTAGAGAGTGGGATCAGGGATTCTCCTGGCTACACAGTGCCAACATTGCCAGCAAACCTTTCAGGAATGGGGCAGGTACCTTCCACTTGTTGTTTTTATTCGTGTAACTTCTCCTTTGTCCCCTGTCCACTCTCTTACACCCCAGCCCTACTCTTTTCCAATTGGATGTATGTAAGTAATTGCAGTAGCGATAACAATTTACATTTCTTGTAGACTACCAGAAACTTGTTAATACCTGTGCCATTCTCAATAAGAATTTATGAGATGCCAATGGCATGGCCCCTCACACTCTTTGTCTTATCTCTCCTCCTTGCTCATTAGCCCCTTTTAATTTGTTTTCCTTTTGACTCTTGCTCCCATTCAGAGCAGGAATGGCAGTAATAAAAGTCTGCACTTTGGTGGTTCCTTTTCCTCAGAGGAAGCCCAAGTGCTCACTTAAACACTATCCCCTCAGACTCCCTGTGTGAGGCCTGTCAAGGCCCTGAATGCACAAATGGGGAAACCAAGGCACAGAGAGGCTCTCCTCTCCTTTCCTCTCCCCTTATGTCCCCTCAAAAAAGTAAAAAAAAAAGGATAACCAGTACTTCCTTTAGGCCTCGGCTGAGTGAGGAGGGAAAGCCCAGCACTGCGGCCCTCCCGGGTAAACCCACTCCAAGGCCTTGGCCCACCTCGGGCTTGGTAACCACACTGGGGTTTCCTCCAAGCCCCACTCTTCCAGCACTTCCACCGGCAGAGTCCCAGAGCCACTTCACCCTGGGGGTGGGCTGTGGCCCCCAGTCAGCTCTGCTCAGGACCTGCTCTATTTCAGGGAAGAAGATTTATGTATTATATGTGGCTATATTTCCTAGAGCACCTGTGTTTTTCTCTTTCAAAGCCAGGGTCCTATCTGGTGGACTTATGGGTGGGGGGAAGTGTAAACCAGAACTTTTACTCTATTTGAAGGTGATTAAACTGTATCTAATGCAAACTGCCTGCCTCCTCCTTCCCCCTTCCATTTCAAGAATCACCATTAGGGTGTGAATGCCTTTGTTTGGGGGTGGGGTGGGGGTTTGTTGAAGGGGTTGCTTGTTATTACGCATACGTCCATTTTCCAGGACACCCTTGGGTTGGAGAGATAGCTCCCAAACTCTCCACTGATCTATACTACATTCTGGGCTGAAGTTTTACCTTATTCTGGACTATGAAGAAAGAATTCTCAAGGCAGTATTCAGTGCTAGTAAGATTGGGAGGGCTGGGGGTGGGTTATATTTACTTACGAAAACAAGGTCTTATTAGGATATTGTTTTTATGCAGAGGGATGCTGTTAACTGAAAATGAGTCTTGGTTATTAAAGCAAGCTCATCAGGGCCTCCTCTTGGAAATATTTTTTTAGTGATCTTTTAAAAGTGATGGAGTATCTTTCTTTTTAAATGGTCTGTAATCAAGACTCCTGACCAGTCAATGCATATATCAGTCTTCCCAGTTAATCAGAATTAATGAAATTTGACTGCTTCCAGATTTTCCTCTATGCCTTCCTTTTTTTCTTGTAGCCAATTGCAGTTTAGTAGTCCTGAGAAAGGAGAGACAGAGGCAGAAACACCAACTCTGCCCGACTCAGATCCTCTCCTATCTGCTTCTGCTTGCCCATTCTTTTTCTGGCTCTCTCAGGTTTGTCCTTGTAGTTGGATTTTTAGTTAGTTCAAAATAAGGCCAAGCCTGGAGAGTTTAGAAGTTTATTAGATTTTTCTGGTTATCCTGCCAGTCAGATGAACCTCTTTTTAGTCAGTGCTCAGTCTATCCTGTCTCAGCCCATCTCTCTTGGGTTAGGACAGATTTCTCTTCTCCCTCAGCTTACCTCAACCTCTCTTCTTTTGACCCTTTGGTCAGTCAGAGACACTTTCTCTTTCTGAGGTGAAGGGCCAAAATGGAAAATCCCTAATCTCTAGTATGAAGTAATTTTATCAAGTTTATGCTTTTCCATACTCCCTGCCCTTCTTCTTTTCCTTTATAAATCTTCTGTATTTAAGACCTTGGCCTGAAGATCTGTCCCATTTATATTATGTGCTGGGACTGTTCCTATTCTGAGTTCTGATCAGAGGGGAGATTGAAGAATTTGTCCTTCCCAGGGGAATAGGCCTTAAATTGTTTGCTCTTTTCAATGGCTGACATTCTTTCCACCTCTCCTCTTCCTCTCCATTCCTCAAGTTTCCTATGCACCCCACTTCCCCAGGCCAGGATGGTTGGCATGGATCCAAAACCTCTGGTTGGATTGGGAGGGACGTGGTTGCACTATTTGGGGCCATTTTTGCATGTTCATTCAGCTCTGGGGCCCTCCTTGTCCTAGCAGAGAGCATCGTATCCCCCTTTGCTTTTTCCTCAGTGACAGAGGTGGGTTCTAATTCTAGAGCAGCTGAATTCCTTTCTTCCTGCCCTGACCTTCCTGCCTTTATCCCTAATGCTCCTTTTCCTACTGACCAAATCTCTTTACCTTTTGGGGGAAAAAAAGTATTTTGTTTTTAAATCTATTTTCTAACTTAAATGCAATTTAATATGTAAATTTCTGCACTTTTGCGTGAGCCTATAGATGTGTGTGGGTGGTGGGTTTTTCACTCTCTGGTATTTCTTAATAAAGAAATCTTTCTCTTTGAGGGGAAGCCAGCTAATGAAGGAGACTTGAATGGTTTTAGAAATACAGGGGTGTCTATTCCTTTGTGCTTCTGCCTCATTTCTTTACTTGTGCCTAGTGTGAGTGACCAGCCCCTCCCCCACCTTTTGACCCCCTTATTTTGAGAGGGCCTTCAGCTTAGTGGGGCAGAGAGAGGGACCTGTCCTGTGTTTTGGTACCCCTCTGGGACCACTTGGATTGGCTCAAGTAGTAACCTAGCAACTTAGCCCCCTCCCTCTCCCCATAGCCTGGGCCTGTGAGTTCTTTTCTTCCAGCTCTGTTCATTTTATACTCCTGAGGTTGGGGCCAGCCTAGGGAAAAATCACCAAGGGATCACAGTAAATGGTTTTAAAAATTGATAATTTGCTCTTGTGCCTTGGTGCTAATAAAGAAGAGCTGTGCTTCTAATAATTCAAAAAGCATTTGTGTCAGTTTTGTGAATACATTCTAGGAGTTGCTTGCTATTCTTAGGCAATAAATCTTAGAATTAGTATCAAAGGCTAAAACTATGCATATCATTAGTTTTAAAAGATGCAAGCCCAACTCACAAAAAAAGGATTCATTGTGGCTTTCTTGTTTTGGGTAAATATGAAAGGGTAATGGAAACTACCACTCTGCATCTGTGAACTTTTGAATGTCCTATAGGATGTCATTGTAGGTCAAAAAACCCAGTGTAATTAGCTGGGCCTAATTATTTTACAAATAAACAAAATGTGTTTTTACAGTTTTAATGTATACACTGAATTTCCAAGAATGCAACAATTGTGTAAACTGGGGGAAAATGGTACTTTTTTTGTTCAAAACTTTACCAAGAGTTGTGACTTTTGAAAGTCATGTCCCCAACAGCAATGTCGTACCATTCATGGATTTTTGAGTTGCCAGTACAGTGTCCCTGTATCAGCCTTCCTTTGTAGCAGTTGCCTTCATGGTGAATCTGCATAAGTAAGTGGAAGCATCTGATGACTTTAGTATATTTTTCGGTACAGTCTTGCCCAGAATTTGTACATTGAATGACTTATCTTATGACCTACTTTCCTTTTACTTCTCCTTTACATTATAATTAGTGTATTACATTGCTATTCTGGAAATTATGTGTATAAGCAGGTTATATTAACTATGAAATTCATTTCAGGGTGGCAAAGGTACATTACAAAATATTGTATATACCAAGGGAGGATTGGGGCTGACAGGGTTGAGAACCATTGGACTAGATTATTGTAAAGGTCCCTTTCTACCTGAAGTATTTGGAAAACTTAGAGAGAAAATAAACAAATATCCCCTTCCCCTCACACCTTTAATGTGCTATTAATTTTAAAAGTGACAAATGCTCATTGTTGAAAATTGGGGAAGTACAGGAAAATATGATTTTAAAAATCAGTCATAAAGTCATCACCAAGGAAATAATTATTGTTAATATTTTGGTGTATTTCTTCCCAGTCTTTTTTCTATGCATGTGTGTTTTTTAAACATAAATGGAATTCAACTACAAATACAGTTTGCAATCCTGCTTTTTTTACTTAGTGTTTTCTGTATCATTAGAAATTATTTGAAAATACTTCTTAATGACCCCATAATAGGTATGTAAGTCATCCCCTATTATCAGACATTTAGGAGTTCCTGACTTTTTCATTACTACAAATAATGCTGTGATGAACTTCTTCATCTATGGGCATATCTGTGCTTGTTTCCTCAGTATAGATTCCTAGAAGTGGAATTACTGAGTCAAAGGAGTGCTCAAGGCTCTTGGTAAATACGACTAAATCACCTTACCGAAAGGCTGTTGCCATTTGTCCTGCCAGCAGTGTATCAGAGAGCCTGCTTCAACACACCTCATGTTAACATTTGGCAATTAGGTAGTTGGAAACTGGTATCTCAGTGTCACTTCATTTCTGTTTATTCTATTAAGAATGAGGTTAAACACTTTCCACACCTCCCCTCTGCCTTATGTTTTTTGCCATTTGTATTCCATGAATTGGCTGTCCAAGTCCTTTGTTTATTTTTCTTCTGATATTAGGGGGTTTTCTACTTGATGCTTGGAGCTCACACTCCCCCATGGGCTGAGAAGTGAGGGGGCCTTGGTTTATAAGTGGGTTTACAGCTCTGGAACATGGTGTAGAATTACCTCCCTAACATTCCATGCCCCTTTCTTACTTCAAGCCCCCCTCCCACTGTCTTTTCTGCCAGCCACTGCCCATCTTCAGCTATCTGGCTGTTCTGATGTGGCTAAAAGGATTGTGGTTTGGGACCCAAATTAGGGACATGATGATGATTTGTTGTAAAACCTGGGCTCTGTCAGAAAACATCACTGAAAGAAACATATCGATCCTGTAGTCCATGCCACTTGCACTTGCTCTTGCTCCCTCTCTCACCAAATTAAGTATGGTGACTTATCTAAGGTCACAAAGACAGTTACAGGCAGAACTGAGACCAGAACCCAAATGTTCTGACTCCCAGTCCATAGAGCTTCCTGGCATAACCCAGGTGTACACACATAAAGGAGTTTGAATAACTCCAAGTGTCACTTGAGTGAAATGATCCTTTAATTTATTTAACATTCAATGAATTCTTGTTGAAAACTGACCATGTGCAAGGGTCAACTGTAGGAGAGATTGCATTGCTGACCCCAATTTTTATAAGTGAATCGAGAGCTAGCAGTAATTTTAGTATATTTTTGGTGCCCTTTTGGACTAATTTTACCAATGATCTCTACATTTTAGGTATACTGAGGGCTGACTATATTGAGTTGGGCTGATAATGGGGGTGGTTGTTGAGTTTTTGCTTCAAACTTAAATCTGTTAAATGTCTCTGCAGACCCCTGCCCATAGGTTGAACGGATGGTAGGGTTTCTTTACCACAGAAAGTCAGGAAGTTGCCTTGCAGGGTTCCCACAGTCAAGTTGGCTGTCCTTTGTGAGGGCCGTTGCCCTGGGCTCTTTCTGACTCTATCCCTGGCAGGTCCCAGAGGCAATGGTATACAAATGCTATATTGGTAACTGTGAAGTTATAGGAAAAGGTGAAGCCTACATATCAAGTGCTATAGAATTCCATTTATTTAGGGCCTTCCTGGAGGAGGAGTCTTGGCTGGGTCTAGAGGGGAGGCAGTTCCTTCCCACTTGATTGTGTTGCTGGCTGAATTAATATAGAATGTGGCCCACGTTGTGTGAGAAGCTAAGGTAGTCTCTATTGTGAAGGAGAGGTGGGAGAGCCACTTCTTTTTCCCAGCTGGGAAACCTCATAATACCTCATCCTGAATTTCCTGACTTGGGAGGGGGGAAGGTGTTGGACCTCATTGCAACTACTGTGATCAATGGCCTTTTCCCCCTTAAAAACTTCTTTCAGCTTTTGTTTTAATGCCCTTGGTCTCTGGTGGCCCTGCTTCAGCCTCCACTGTGTGAAAAACCTGGGTGTGGCTCTGTATCAGTGAGAGTTGGAAGCAGCAGCTGGGGCTAGTGTCAGACCGTACTGCTATAGGGTTTGGGGGTAGGAGAGGGAATTTGTGGAGGTGACAGCCTTCATTGCTGGGTTTTGAGGGAGCTGATCAGAGCCTACCTGGGGAAGTCTAAGTAAGGTTGTGAGAAATAGCGGCAGCGAGTGAGAGGGGAGATAGTTCAGCTGGTTGTGCCTGACACCCCCAGCTGCTTCCCCTGATGGGACAGGGAGGAGGAAGGTGGCTCTAACCCTGAGTGGGGGAGGAACTGGCTGGACTCTACTCTTTCTTCTTGAATCTGGCCTTTAGCCTCTTCCTGCTAGTAGTCCATGGATGTCCAAGGGAGTTTCCCAAAATAAATCTCATGCCCAGGGCTGATCATTGTACTGTGAAAGGGGTCAGCCAGAGCTGCCCCAGGATCCTCAGGGGGAACTTGTCTCCATCACCAGGCTCTGGGAGCACCTGAGGTGGCACCCTCGACCCTGTATCCCAACACCTGGAAACTTGGATATCAGTTTGTCTCTGGACTATATAGCAGTTAGTTTGCAGACAAGCACATATTGACATGGCCTTTGTACCCAGTCTTGAGCTCAGTACCCTGGAGGTTACAAAAAGATAAAAAAGCCACTATTTATTGTTACTGTATGCCAAGAAGTTTATATAAATTATCTCATTTATTTCTCTAACAACCCAAAGAAGTGGATTATTAGATCATTATTCTTTTTAAAATTTAATTTCATTAAAAAAATTTTTACTGAGATAAAATGAACATAAAACTGTTAAAGTGTAAGGTATGCAATGCATTTTACTTGATACACTTATATATTGCAATATAGATTGTTATTCTTATTTTGCAGAGAAAAAGTATCTAATTACCTAAAGTCATGTAACTAGTAAGTGGTGGAGCCAGGATCTGAAGACACTCTTGTTTACCTCCAGAGCCTTTGCTCTTTGTCACTCCACTAACTAGGGGTCCACAGGGAAACAGACACAGCAGGGTGGTGTGGGTTTGGAGGATCGGACATGTTCTCATTTGCTGAGCATTGATTTTTGTGCTGGACACTGTGCTAAGTATTTTACATACTACTTCATTCAATCTTTGTGACAACCCATGGGGCTGGTACTAATATTCCCAATTTATTGATGCAGAAGGTGAGGCTCAAGGAGGTTAAGTGACTTCTCCAAGGTGACCCAGCTAAGTGAGTGACAAAGCCAACACTTGAATTCAGGTGAGCCCTAACTCCTAACTGCTAGTCCTCGCCTGCCCTAGAGGACCTGCCGTTTGCTGTCCCCAGGCCCTGGTGGGGCCTGAGGGCAGAGGAGGAGCCCCATTGCCCTGGTGCACCAGCCACCCCACCCTCCCACAGGGAGCAAGAGGCTACAGCTGCCTGGGCCTCTGATGTACCAGGCTCAGGGTGGGGGTATAGAATCTGTGAAGACGGCCTCCTGGAAACCAGACCTTGGTTTGCTGGGCTTTAGGGCACCACTTGGCATCTTCTAGATGTCCATGGGATGGGATAGGAGCTTCTGTCATGCCTGCCTGGAGGAGTTGCTTTGGGACCTGGGCTACAGGTGCACCTGGTCTCACCCCTCAGTCCCTGGCCCGTAGTCTGTATCTCCCTGTTGCCCCCCTCACTTGCCCCTCCCAAAGTCCTGTGATTATTGGAGTCCTTGCACAACTACTTTCTTTCAGCCTGTGTTCAGCCTATAGGCCAAACTGGATCCCGATAATTCTGAGACATTCCCCCCAAACCCCCGCCCAATCTCCAGGGCAGAGGAAGAGTTCAAAACATCTTTTCCTCAGTCTGATTTCTCTTTTTCTGATATTTTCCTTTCCCCAGCTTAGACCTAATAGATAGGTATTACCCAAGGGTTTTAAAGGTTTAGTAATCTCCTCTAATAAGGTCCCCTTGATGTGTGAGGATTTGAAGCACTTTGGGCATTTTTCATCCCCCACTCCCTATCTTCCCAGAAGTCTATGCCAAAAGGCAGCAGGATAATGACTTTGATACTACCCCACATTGGAGGCCAGAGGCTTGGGTCTATTTATTTACTTATTTTTTTTTAAATTAAAATATTGTTCCTTTTTTAATAGAAATAATAGATACTTTTGAAATTCAAATAAAACAAGAATATAGCGCGTGAACACTTCTCTCCGTCATTCCCCCAATCTCATCCCACTCACCTCACTGGTAACCATTTGGTACACATCATTCCAGTCTTTATTCTTGTGTATGTTTGTCTTTTCTTAAAAATGGAATCACCCTACAAATAATGTTTTAGTACTTGTTTTTCCCCATGATATAGCATGGACTTCTTTTACAACAATAATGTTTGTACATTGTTTGTATAATTTTAAAATTTAAAATCAAACAATAAAAATTCCTGAAGTCATTTCCCTGTATGATTAAATATTTTTCTGCATCATGTTTATTGGCTGCATGGTATTGTGTGAATGAAACATTAATGTATCCAATTCCCCATTTGTGTTGTTTCCAGTTTATTATAGCTAAAGCTGTGGTGAATATCTTTGTCCACCTATTAGAGCACACTTGTGTGGCACTTTCTGTGGCTCGAGTCCTAGGAGGGCAATGGCTGGATTAAAGGGTGTCAAAGGCACGTTGCAGAGGGCCAGATTGCCCTCCAAAGGGCCGGGACCTCTGAAAGCTTGTTGGGCTTCCTACTCAACTTCTTGAACCTGTCGGAGCCTCAGTTTGCTCCCCTGTAAGTAGGGAAGATGACGGTACTTCCCTGAAGGTGGGATTCTGGGAGGAGTATATGAGAGAATAAAATGCAAAGTGCTTGGTGCCTGGTGCATGTGTTGGTGCTCCCACTGGGGCTGTGAGGCT